TCTGAAAATATGGCGGAAGGCACCAAAGACACCTGCACGGACAGTGCTCCGGAGATTTTTTCCCCCTCTAAAAGGTAAAAGTCTGAAGTCTGGACGTATTTTGGATTTTATAAGGATGCTGAGGGGAAACTAATTGAAGATAGTTACCCTGTCTGCAGAAAATGCAGAAAAAAAGTCTCCGCAAAGGGGGGTAACACTTAAAATTTGATGAGCCATCTCGGTGACCACCATCCACAACTATACAGCGAATGTACCTGTGCCTGGGTCACACTACACGACTTTTCTGCCTGTTCTGAAAGTCACTATGTCACATTACACGATTGTGGAGTCGTGCTGTGACATGGCCGACAGACATGACAGACTATACGATCTCTTTCATGACGTGTGTGATATCATCAGGTTATTCTTGTCCTATTTTTATTACTTTTACTATTATTTGAGTCACTGTGTCTGTTCATGTGCCAGCCGAAATGTTGTTGTAGTAACGTAAAAAGTGCCAGCAGGTGGCAGGAGCTACATTTAAAGAACCGTATGCAAACATACAAGTCACAGAATCCTCCACAAGATCCTGCAAATGTTTCACAATGAAAGCCTATTTAGAAAATGGAGGGATTCTCTCAGCCGAGGTTATTAGGGGCTTTTAGTCTGAAAAATATACAGGAAGTGTTGAGTTTGAAATGACGGCACAATGCATTAACTAACTAGGCAACGGGAGCGGATAAAAAGTAAAAATATAAAAACACAGAGGGAATGATAAATAACGAACTATCTATAATGTAGTCTGTTTCAAATCAAGCTGGTAGCCTCTGCAGTTGTGGTGAGTAAAAGCCCCGCCACTATTTTTTAATTTTCTTACTTTATGTCCATCTCCATTATGAAGAAAGAACATTCTTTGCTAGCTTGATGCTAATGGCAGCACTCAGCGGGTTGACAAAGTGCCTCTGCTGTTTCACACTATCATTTTCCCCTTTTACTCTGTGTGGTAGAGAGGAAATATTTGAAAGGCTGGGGTGTTGTTGACCTACAGTTGCCTATGGCAGCAGCTAACTCTGTGTTCCTATTGGTCAAAGTGACGGCTGTGATAGGAGTAATTGTGAATGACAAAAAGACAAACATGCTAGACTTTCTGTTAGACAGAAAGTACACTGTGCTCTTTATTTTATTTGTTTTTCAAAATAAAACTTGGTTAATTGATTTCAGTGTGCGTATAAGTACTGGTTGAACATTTTCAGCACATTTCAATAGTACCGCGATAATAATGATAACCGTGATATTTTTGGTCACAATAACTGTGATATGAAATTTTCATACCATTACATCTCTAGTCATGACTAGTCCATGCATAACATTTGGTAATAATTGCTTAAAGTGGGCATGGCCTATTACAACAAATATAAATTCTAGACATTTCACATTCCAAACTTTAAATTATCGTAATAAATCACCAGTACTTCCTACCAAACCCATTTGTTTTTCAGCACATCCACTGAATTGCAACAAAAGTTTTCCTCACTGAAACCTATAATCATTTCAGAAGTCCAAAATTTACACATATATTCTTTGGATAGTAGATATCATGCTTTCACATGGTGGTCAGATTGGTCAGATGTTGAGTTTCAGCATCTTGTAATTTGTAGTGTATGCGCAACATTTTCAATTTCATCTCATTTTTTAACCAAATTTCACCAAATTATTTGTAATTGCACCTGAAAACAACAGAATGATGCCCGCTTTTTCAAAATTTTATCTCCAACACTTTGACTGTTGTGCTTTACATTTTAGAGAAAATACCCAAGTTTTACAAATGTGATAGTATTGCCTCAAGTTGTAAGACAGTGTGTGAAAAGCCATATCCTCCTGGTGGTGCAGTATGTAAGTCACCTTCCCTGGGTATTCAGAGGTGCAGTGTTTGAATCCTCAGATGACCAAGTCCTACAACTTTTTTAAACAAACGTCACAAAAATCTATGACAATACACCTGACAAAGGCAGGTTGATTTGTGATTTTTTTTTTGTGATGACCCTCTCTCTGCCTGCTGCTTCTGAGGCTGGTTTGGCTTCATGTCCCAGGAGCTGGTGGGCAGGGTTGGAGAAGTCTTCAGAAAACTACCTGCACCTGCATTCTCTTGTTTCTGCTCTTCTGTTGTGAACTATGTGGTTTAAAAGTTGACATGCCATATTCTGTGGTACTTAATCAATTTCCAAACACAAATTTCCAATCTCCTGCGACACATCTCAAACATTCAGTATGTGTAAAATAATTTTTTAAAAAGTATATATTCAACTCAAATTACAAGAACTTAATTCTGGGAATTAAATTGCATTCCTGGTAAGTAAAAATAAAACAAAAGTTAAATATTAATGTGCTGGACTCACGTTTTAATTTAATGGCAACAAGTTCACGTTGATTATATAAATGCATAACACCACCACCTCTGCTAACCAATTTCTGGAAGAAACTCTACATAAGTAGAAGGCTTTTGCCATTAATGTAAGATGTGGGCAAATATAGATCAAAATGAGGTTAAAGGAATGAGTTTGCCAGAAGATGGTGTATTGTATTATGGTTGTATTTCTTTTCTTTTTTTTTTTTTTTTTTACATCTGACAGTTTTTGATCAAAAACGCATACTTTGTGCTTCCTCCATGCATAGAAAACACCAGTATGGCATAATCATATTCAAATGACAACACTGAACTGACTGATGTCATGATTTTTTCAGGCAGTGAGAAATAGACTTTTAAGGACTCTGTCCATCCAGTAAGGTTTTAACCTTTGTGCATTGATCTTATCTGAAACTGCCCCATTTCAGGCATTAGATTAATATCCCCCATAGTTCACAGGGTAGCATGAAATAGATAAATCTAAACTGCAGATTTTAGTATTTATATCTCAGTCATTAGAGTAAGAATGGAAATAAAATGCAGAAAATCCAAGAATACTTCAAAGTGGAGTGTCAGACAATCTTTTATCAAATCTCTTCATGCCTCTCCAAGCCAAAACCAGAAGACCACTATAGGCAACAAAATAAAGTGAATAAACATGTCAGTGTATACAATAGTGCAGGGGTGTCCAAACTTTTTTGAATGGGAGCCAGATTAGATGATGTGAAAATAAAACGGGGCCAGCTGCCTCTTTCATCATACTAGATCAAAAAACCCATACAAATACTGTAATACAAACACAACTGTCTCAAGTTTCATTCCAAACCAACAGTGGTAAATGGACCTGCATTTGTATAGCGCCTTTCTAGTCATCCGACCACTCAAAGTGCTTTATACACTACGAATCACATTCACCCCATTCACACACACTTTCATACACTGGTGGCCTAGGCTACCATACAAGCTGCCACCTGCTACTCAGTTTTTAACACACTCACACACTGATGGAACAGCCATTAGGAGCAATTTGGGGTTCACTATCTTGCTCAAGGATACTTCGACATGCAGACTGGAGGAGCCTGGGATCGAACTGTTGATCTTTCGATTGGTGGACGACCTGCTCTACCTCTGAACCACAGCCGCCCAATGAATTCCTTTTCTATAGATTGACATTAGCAGCCTGTGCATACAACTTATTATATTAGAAATATACAACCACCTTCCACAGTGAAGTCTTGCAAGAAATGCACAGTTTTTACATACAGCAAACTGTGACACGCACAAAGCTATATTTCTCAGCAAGGCAGTGGTTGTTGGCAACTCCCCCTGTACACTGACTTACACCAAGTACTGAGTTTGTTGTCACCTGTCTGAATGACATTCTTCAAGTCTTGCATACAGCAAAGTCCTCCTCAATCTGCTCTAGGTTCAGCTTCTCTGCTTATTCATTCTAAATGCATTATATAACCAGCCTCTCTGTCCAACACATTCTCACTCCGACCCCATCACATGCTGTATCAACATTTGGTCATGGACATTCGACATCAACATATGACATGCAAGGTACCCTCGCTGCGTTTGTTGTTGCCATTCTAGCACGCCGTGTCAACTTCAGCCTGTTACATGCATTGTCTGATTTCAAAATACACTTCCGTTTTCACTCGAAATGTACAGTTTGTATAAGGTATCTTTCAAAATAAAAGTAATACATCAATAAAACACCACAAATTGACGTTTTTTCCTTCAGCAACAAACACAAATGGTTATGTTTAGCCAACACATGCACATGGTTGGGTTTAGGACAAAAGAACAGGGTTTGGCATTACAATCTTATGGGAAGCGAACACTTCCGCCGCCTTAAATTTAGTTGTTGTTGTCCAACTGCGTTTCCCCCTGACGCTGCCAGGCACTGTTAAGCAATAGTGACGACCAACTGCATATCATGCTGAAGTAAAAAGACATCTTTTTACGTCAGTGTCTTAAGCTGGAAGTCACAGACCAAGCCCTGGTTTTCTACAACATCAGAGTGAGACCAGGTTGCCCTGTCCCACTGCGCTCCTCAGACCCAGTGTGCATCTGATGTTTGGCAACATCATGGGTGTTTTTGATTTGGGTCATTTAACATGCTCACTGGTTTGTGCTGTCTTAACTTATGCTGAGGTAGAGTAATGCATTGTTGTGCAGTTTTTATATTGTTCACAAACTGCTACCAGGTGTCAGTGCACCCTCCTACCACCTGACACTCAGCCAGTGAATGGATACATTTAAAAAAATGTATCCTTTACATAATATCAGCTGAATGCAGAGTGTCACCAATCTGGACATGGAGTTCTGCCCTGCTGCAGCTGCAATAACACCAGCAGCTTTGTTGCTGCTGCTGCTGATGATCTGCCACCTTCCTTTTGTTCAGTTCTGACACTGCTTATCATGACTTTTTCAGGTGACTTTCGTTCTGACTCCACTTACAATATGGAGAAATGAAAAACTCAGAAAAGTACACAAAATACGACTGTGTTACAGTGACAAAAGTAAACGTAGTTTGTGACTTCCATCACAGGGAAATACTTGTTGAAAGCATGACACACATAACACAATTTAAAAAAAAAAAAAAACTCACCTGTCTCTTCATCAATGGCAAATCGTCCAAGCCCACTCCCGTCACGAATGGAGTATTGGATTTCTCCATCTCTGCCAGCATCATCATCGTTAGCGGTGACTTGGAGTAGTGTAGTTCCAATCCGGGAATTCTCCTTCACTAATCCTGTCAAGGCAAAGTGGGAAAAGTATGGAGCGTAGAGGTTTTCGTTCACATCTACAACCTCCACCTCCACAAAGGTGACTGAGAGAAGAGAAACAGGCCTTCCCTTGTCTTTGGCCTTCACAGTAAGGTTGTAGAACTGCTGGGTCTCATAGTCCAACTCTTTTGTCAGCCGAATAGCTCCACTGGCTTTGTCTACCTCAAACCATCCGTTATAGTCATTGGCCAGAGAGTACCGGACCTGGCCTCCCAACCCCAAATCTGGGTCCTGGGTTTCTAACCAGGCCACAACAGTTCCTACTGGGAGATCCTCTAGAGCTCTGGCTTTGTACACACTGGGAATAAATAGTGGGGGACAGTCATTCACATCCTCTAAAATGATTTTCAAAGTGGTTACAGAAAACCTCTGGCCCCCTTTCTCTGCCTTGTCCCGAGCCTCAATCTTCAGGTTAAAAGCAGAAACAAACTCCCTGTCTAGTTGACCAGCTACATACACTATGCCATTAGTGCTGTTGATACCAAACTGGGTGGTGCTGGTTAAAACAGAGTACATAATTTCCCCATTGGGTCCTAAATCTTTGTCAGTGGCCTCAACCTGGATGACATCTGTACCTATGGCAGTGTTTTCAGGTATCATAATTCCATAGCCTCCTTCTTGCAAAAACTGGGGTGCATTATCATTAGCATCCTCTATGTAAACAGTAAGCAAACGCCAGGCAGTTTTCTGTGGCAGGCCAAGGTCATAGATAGTTAGGTTGAGGAGATAGCGATCCCTCTTTTCTCTGTCCAAAGGGAGGAAGACACTGATAAGGCCAGTCTCCATGTCAATTTTAAAACAGCTGTCAATGTTTCCATCTGAAATAGAGTACAGAATCTGACCATTGAAACCTGTGTCACCATCATAGGCACTGACCTTGAAAACGCTTGAGCCAATCTTAAGGTCTTCCCGCACAGCAATATCTGTCGGAAAAGCTTTGTCAAACTGGGGTGTCTGCCGATTGACAGAGAAAAGGTCAATAAAGCCTTCCTCAATTTTGGGCTTTGTGCTTGCTTTGGACTTTTTGAGTAACTTCTCAGCTAACTTTTGAGCTACTCTTGTCTCTTTACAGTTGAAACTTTTGGGAGGAGATTTCCCATGAGCAACTGAGATGTTAACAAACATAGGATCAGAAAAATTCTCACCATCTGTGGCAGTTATTTTGAGACTAAAGACACCATTCTTTGGACTGGCAGTTGCAAGGGAATGTCGCAGTGAAAGGACCCCTGAATCTGGGTTGAGGTCAAAGTACCCCCAGTCGTTACCTGAAATGATCTTATATTTTACTAATTCCAACTCATCTATGTCAATTGCAGACATTGTGGTAATCACTTCATCCACTGGGAAGTCCCTAGAGATCACACCCTGGCATGCTACCTTCTCAAACAATGGCTGGTTATCATTTACATTTTCCAGGTGGATTGTCACATTGACTTCACTCTCTCGCCTGTAAGGCGAACCCCAGTCAGATGCTCTGACAACAAACACAAAGCTCTCTGATGATGATTCAAAGTCCAACTCTTTAATAGTGCTGATGACACCAGAGAACTGATTGATTTTGAAGGGTAATGGCTGAAGGCTGGAAATGCTGTAAGTTATGTATCCATTTTCTCCTTTATCCTCATCCACTGCGGAAACTGTTAACACATTGGTCCCAACTAGTACACTCTCATTAACCAAAACCTCATAAGAGGACAGATCAAATGTTGGTGTGTTGTCATTGGCATCCTCAATAGTAACCTGCACTTTAACTTTGAGCTCACTATCTATTTCCATTACCTCAAGATTAAAGACATCCTGGGTCAACTGAGTGAACCAGTGAGTGGTAGAGATTACGCCTGTTAGGGTGTTCATTTGAAAAAAAGCTGAATCTGCAGAAGGTGTCAGGATATACTCTGCATCATCAGGCTCTGGCTTAAGTTTAACAGCTTCTACAATTGTGCCTGGTGGTGAAATTTCATTCAGACTAACATCATATATCTCCTGCTCAAATGCAGCTTCTGCTGTCTGTCGTTTCTTGACCATAATGTGGACAACCTTAACAGCAGAGAACTTCTGTGGGGCTCCTCTGTCTTTAGCCTGCAAAGTGAGGTTACAGCCATATGGGTATGTCTCCCAATTTACTGACTCAGAGGCCTTTATGGCAAACTCGCCTTCTGCAGATCTTTCCACAAAAAACTGCTCTGAAGGGTCTCCACCCACAATGACCACTGAGTCTATTTCTCCATTTAAGCCTTCATCTAGGTCTTCAACAGTGACCATGGCATACACAGGGTTTTTATCAAGCCACGAGGGGCTGTGGGTGACCGCAGTCATGACTGGGGCATGCTCATTCACACGTTCTACATGGACAAAAAGCTTGGCTGTGCTGCTGACCCCATTATTTCCATAGAGCTTCATGCCACGGTCCACCGCCAAAATTTCTAAATCGTACCGATTCTGCTCATCAACATTCAGCTTTCCACTGAGAGAAACAACTCCACTGGTTGGGTGTACAGCAAACAACTCCATTTTCTCCTTGAAAAAATAGTAAAACTCCCCATTGGAACCAATATCTGCATCTGTCGCGGTAACTTGTGCTATGCTAGTCCTGAGAGGGGTGCTCTCCGCTATGGTGACGGAGTAAGTGGTTGGTGAGAACAAGGGTCGTAGGTCATTCATATCCAAGACCTGGATGCTGACTTTTGTCCAGGTCTCAAGGAGGGCCTCTCCCTTGACAGAAGCTTTTACTGTCAATACATAATTATCCTGAATCTCTCGGTTCAAGATAGCTGCGTTGCCACCTTTAGTCCTTATGCGCAAGAAACAGAAGTCACCCAGCACATACTCCTCTGCCTTGAAAAACCCTTCATCATCACCAGAGGTGATTCTGTAGCGGATCTCCCAGGAGCGCTGTGCCAGGTGGATTCCCATTTTAACTTTACTGTTGGCATAGGTGCGTGCTGCTGAGTTTTCGTAAACTGTTGCGTGGTAGACAGCCTGAGTAAAGCCAAAGTGGGGTCCATCCTGAAGGCCCGCATGGGTATTCTGGCCGCAGCAGGGTGGTGGCTTGAAGAGCAGCAACAGCAGCAGCAGGGCCAGGCTGAGGAGAGGGGCTCGCATGCCTGCCCACTGGCCCATATTCACATCCATCCCATCATCACTCCATCCTGAAATGGAAAGAGACAAACAGAAAAAGGTTAGCTACAGGAAGGTGACATTTGCAGGCTCCTTTTTTTTAATCATTATTTATATGTCCTTTGGACAGCAGGGTTTGATTAGAAGTTGGAAGGGGTGGGGGCGTCCTCAGTAACTGGGCAACCAAAATGAAGGCTGACATCATCCTTGTGTGGTCTCTGGACACTGAGATCAGTGTCAACAGTCAATTGCAGCTTACTGAAAAACCAGAGGTGGTTTGAGAAGGAACAAAATAATTGTATGGCTAGAAAGAGAAGTGTAACATCACCAAAACAAACACTAAAGAAAATAAGTGCAGAGGGCAAAATGATGGGCTGCCACACCATGACCCTATCATAACCCATTTCCTGAAATACATGAAAACTGCAGCCCTGTGTCTTTAAACCATGTAATATCTCCAGACTCAAACCAGTTATAGTTTTGAAACAGAGAGCAAGTAGCTGCTGTGTTCAGATTTTGTTCTTTCTTTTTTTTCTAGGGAAAAAAAAGTGTCCTGAAAGTAAGCAGCCACAAATATGTGCCAATCTGGGCTTTGGGAGAAAAGCCTGATCCGGTAAAAGCCATGTTGTGGCCATAGGAGTGCCATAGTGGTCTGCATTTTGATGACTTGGCACTTTCCACCACAAGGGATGGAGAGATGGGGCGGGAAAAAACAGGCGGTGTCTGAGCACACTGATAATAACACTGCTGAAGTACCCAGCTAACACTACAATTTTTCAACACACATAGTTACACTCACGTGAACACAGTTCCTGCAAGAGCACAAACTTTGTTTTTGTGTCTAACAGGAACTGATCCAGTGTTAACTTCTGACTGAAAGAAAAAAGCATTTGGCTTTGCGAGCATGACCAAAAACCACCTCATCTGAAACAATGCATACCGATGCCTAAGCCTGCATTTAAATTCAACAGTCATTCAGGGAATAAAGGCTGGAATCCAAACGAGTGAAATGCCAAAAACAACACTTCTGACCTTAAACTGTCATCTCAGTGTCAGCTTCAGTCAGTGAGGGTGGATGTGTGGGGTGAGTATGGTGGGGGTTTCGAGGACTTTCCTGCTGGAAGTGTCTAAGGGCAGTCTCAGTCAGCTTTACTGGGTCAGTACATCTCTCCTTTGAAAAACTAGATCCAGCAGGGAGGCACCGTAATGATGCCTCAACACTGCATTAACCCTTTGAATCCAGGCTGATTTTGTTCTGTTGTCACTCTTCACTTAGATTTTATTTGCATGTATATCGATGTTGAAAATATATGTATGTAAATGGATAGATGGGAGTCTTCCAGGGCTGTAAGAACTGTGCTGATGGTACTTGCTGAGTGTTTGTGCTTTCTTATTTCTATTTGGGTCAGTGATTTCTAACCAGGGGTACTGCTTCAGTTACCAGAGAGTAAGTGGTAATTAGCACAGCTAATCTGACATACATATATTCATGTATTTGTGAGAAAATATATGGGGTTAGAAAGATATAAAGATACATCAGACAAGAAAGGGTGAAACTACTGGAAAGGTAGTGTATACCAATGTTACACTTAGGACCACCTAAACCAGAGTGTACTCAGACCAACACATGACCAAGACTTGGGGTTTGAG